TTCTTCAAAGAACACTAAAAATATGTGGTTTACCTTCTCGACTCTGATTGGCCTATTTTTTTGCCCCAAAAGTTCCTTCCTCTGAATTTGGCTTTGATTAAACCCCTACTAGGTTTTCTCTACCTAGTTTCTGGTGTCATATTTGCAACTTTTTCCTTATTCCCCAGTTAGATTTCCCATCTACTTTCTCTGTGCTCTCATCACCTCATTTCCGCCGTGGCTAATACTGCATTTGTGAAAATCTGCCTTGTGTTTGTAGCTTTCGGTACGTTTGTTGTCCTCACTTGAATGTATTTGCCTAGAAGGAAGTGATTATTTTTTAGCCATCCTTGTTATCATCTGAGGCCCATAATATAATGTGTTGCAAAGTGGTGGAGCTCACTAAAATTTTTTAAGAAGTTTTTAGAATTTTTAAGAATTCTAAATTTTAAATTTTAAATTCTAAAATTTAAGAAGTTTTAAGAATTTTTTAAACTGAAGTCACAGAAGGAAGGTAGTCAGGTGGGGGTATTTCCATTTCATTTGGGAGAAAGCTAGGGAAACAGATGCAGGTTAAATCACTGTTTACCCAAATACTTAATTTACCCAAAGTCTTAATTAGTGGTTGGAACAAAGATTAGGTCCTGAAATTACTGGTTTTTTATCTTGATCATCATCTTTTTCTTTTCTTTTTCTACACCATTTTGCAAGGAATTAGTTAAAATGTATCCTAGGCTGTTAGTTATAGAGTGGTATGTTGGGTTTACTTGGAAGCATATAGAAATCGAAGTTAGCATTTCTTTCGTTCAGGAGAAGACAGATCATTAACAAATTAGAATTTCACTATATCTGCACTGTTAGATACAAAATAATATTTCCCCAGTAAGTAGTGCAGCTATTGACTGCTTTGGAGATTAACAAAGGAGCCATCAGCGTGGTCTGGAGTGGTTTGTTGAAGACTTGAGAAGGGCTGAGCTTGTGCTGAACTTGGGAGCTTGGGTTTAGAGAGAAGTGGGAAGGTCATTTCAGATGGAAAACAGTAAAATTGGGGGAAAAAAAGTGTAGAAGACGGAACAACTTTTAGGCTTACTACACAGAGTGTGGCCCAGACTAGCAGCATTGAGCTCAGGAGAGCTTGCTAGAAATGTGGAACTCAGGTCTTTCCCAGGCTACAGGACCAGACCCTGCACTTTAAAGTCTGGGAGGCACTGATAGATGCCATTTGTATGGGGCTGTAGAGTTTACTGCTGGCTAAAGGAAACATCCCATTTGACCCTCAGAATAAGTTAGATATGAATGAATTAGATTAAGATGGTCACTACCAGTGTCCAGTCTCGCTGAAAAGAAAACCTGAAGTTTGGAGAGGTTTTGATTTGCTGAAAGGTTCCTAGAGCTGAGTTTCCAACTCAGGTATACAGATTCCTTCCTCTTTTCACACCACACCATGAGAAGTCATACAATGGGGAGCTGAGCACGCCAGTACAGAAAGCGTGAATGTGGATTAGGTAGCAGCTGGCCCATACAGTGGGGATCTGGAACGTTAAGACATTTATCACTGATCCATTGATATGTTTTGGCCGGAAGAATGTCATGAGGAGTGTCTCAGGGAGACCGATCTGGTGGCATTATGTGGATGAATTAGAGTTGAAAGAAACAGGACTTCGAGACACCAGTTATTCAGGGCATGATATTAAATATTTTCAATTTTAAAAAAATAGGTGGTATCTGTAAGTCACCCGACATTGATTGAAGACCCAGTTTGTGCTGGGCACTGGGCATCTGGGCGTGCTGTCATGATATGCTTGCCCACGTAATGCTTTGGTTGAGTCAGTCAGTAACGGAGTACGAAGTGCAGAAAAGACTAACGGTAATGACAACAACAAAGTCATCTTCCATTTTTCCCATGAGGTGATCTCGTTCTCATCCTGGTTTTGCTAATAGTGTTATACGTGATCTTGAACGAGTCACTTAATTGCCCATTTTACCTACTTTAAGACCTAAACATCATACTTCCCATGACTTCACAGCACAAGATATTGTGATGAGATCATTTATGGGGGACGGTCTGGTTTCCGGAGTGGTATAAAAGCTTATAATGCTGTCGATATAAAATCACTTTTAAAACCTTCACTTTTTGCAACTTCAGAAATTTCAGTCCCCTGGTGCATTGTAGTCACCTAATTATAATGACACTGAAAGGGGAAGAAAAAGTGCAGCCATCTGTGACACTTGTTTTCCTTCCCTGGAGGGGGCGTTGGAGAAGGTAATGGCCTCTCTGCGGTGTTGTTGACCCCACTTGGAAGGAGCGTGGATGGTGGTTTCTGATTGTGGCTTTAAGACCCAGCCGCTGATGGGTGTGATCATTCGACAAGAATCCATGGGCATGGCAGTTATAGGGTAATACAGACAGGATTGAGAGACTCTTTGGACTCTGGCGGAGAGAAGCAGGAGTTCTGGGCTGCACGTGTCTGACCCGTCTGGTGACATAACGCCACGGCTCTGTGTGTGCAGTTGAGGTCCCTGGGTGTACACGTGTGTGTGCACGCATGGCGTGCACACTGGAAACGCTGCGAGGGGTGGGAGGAGGGCAGAGGAGATGAGAAGGTGAAAGCGTTCATCGGGCTTCAGGTTGCTGGGAATAATACTGATTAACACAGATCATACTGATTAACTGGGTTTCACTGCTCCCCTCTGTGAATTAGCGTGTGTATGAGCACCACCTCTTTGTTTCTGAACTGTTTTCTTTTTAGAAAATTTTAATTGTTTAATTGTAATTCCAGGATAGTTAACATACAGTGTCTTTATCCATTCATCTGGACACTGGGGCCGCCTCCATAGTTTGGCTATTGTAAATGAATGCTGCAGTAAACACTGGGGTGCATGTAGTTTCTGAACTGCTTTCCACACATCGTAGCTTCTGCTGAGAATGGGAGTGTCCACAAAAAAGCACACTTCAGAGTAGAGGATCCTTTGAGCATTTCCTCTCTTACCTAGAACATTGCTTATCTTAGAATAGTCCAGATAAAAATATGATGTATTAACGTATTTTCAACAAGCACCTAGAATAGGGCTTGGCGCATAATTAGAATTTAGAGAAGCATTTGCTGCTGTTATTAGCATTCTATCCCAGTCATTTATTCATTCATTCGCTTGCTGAGTGTGGGCTTCATGTGTCCAGGCCCTGAGTTGTTTGGTGTGGAAGCCCAGGAGTGGATCACACAGAGATCCTGCCCTCAGGGACAGAATGTTCTGGTAGGAAAAATAAGATGAGCAAGTACATAAATGGCATGGCGTGAAGAAAATGATCTGTCTCTTACTAAGAAAGGTCTAGATGGAGCTTTTGGGGGTGAACAGAAGCAGGAGAGGGCTTCCGGTGGGTTCGAAAGGAAGGTGAGGTGGGGGGGGCGGTGGGAAGTGGTACCTGAGTCGCATCCCAGAGGATGGAAAAGGTTCAGAGACGCTGCTGAACCAGGTGAAGTGCTTTCCATGTAAAGCAAGTGGGAGGCACAAAGCAGAAAATAGCATATTTAAGAAGGAAAATATAACTAGTTTGCTTTGCCCGATTGACGGCTCTGTTTTGAACATGTGTTTTGCTTCATCTCCAGAGTTCACGTGCCCCATATTTTTTCATTTCTTTGCCCTTCAATTAAGATCGGCAGATTATAATAAGGAGGGGCAGTTGCTAACACGATGCAAGCGGCTTTGTAATTATAGCTGCTGCCAAATGTGTAATCTATCTGTTCTTGTAATTATTAAGGTTTTTATTTTTACAGACTGATTGCCTCCTGGTCTAAAACTTCCCTAATAGTATGCAAATAGGGGCCAGGAAGCAATATAAATCTAGAAACATGATATCTTCTGCCTTCTACAATAAATCACCCATGCAGACTGACCTGTGGTGGCTGGGTACCTCTCGGGAGGCCCACCGTCATTTGCCTCAAAACAGACTGGGGCTGCCTCATATCCTCGCAGCCTCACAGAGAGTGCAAAAATCACACCCTGGGTTTTACGTTAGCTTTCTCTTGTGACACACACAATGGCATGACTTCCTTTCTCTTTCCTTGACACTAATTCCATCATTTACTTGTGATAAATTACTCTGCCTTTGGCATTTTAGCTTATCCACTTAACAGCTGAATATGCCCCTACACCGTGGTGTGGAAGGAGCTCGGGGTTCACTGATGGATGGAGCCGAAGCTGTTGGCAAATCTCCTCCTTTTCGTGCCTCAGTCAGCACATCCGTCCAGTGGGGGTGTTACTATATGCTATAGCGAAATCACAGCTTCGTACTTCGTAAAACGCTTATTGTGTTTAAAGGTATTTTAAGATACCAGGTTCTAAATTAATGGGGATCAGTTCTTAAAATAAGATTTCTTCCTTAGTGAGAGAGTTCTCACTGGAACAGACTGATTCTGTGTTTTCCGAATTCATTTGAAGCTTGAAATAATCATCCGGCAATGAGAACTAATATAAATGGAAATTCATAGCATATAAAGGCTGCATAGGGCTCAACAGCTTGTAAACCCGATTGTGAATAGCTGTAAGGCCCAGAACAATCAGAGACAAATGGCATATGTGCTCAATAATTATTTCTTGAATGAATGAGGGAATTTTTTTTTTTTTAGGGGAACAACTATGTTTAGATTAAATAATGATTAAGTAGAGCTAAGGGTTATAAAGTGAGTATTTATTATGGGATTTTGAATTTCTTCACAGCTTATGAAAGTTGTCTATTATGTTTTAATATAGTATCTACTTGGGAGCCTGGGTGGGTCCGTTGGTTAAGTATCTGACTTTGGCTCTGGTCATGATCTCACGGTCTGGGAGCTCAAGGCCCCTTGGAATGAGCTCCACTTCTCTCTCTCTCTCTCTCTCTGTCTCTCCCTCTCTCTGCCCCTCACTTACTTGTGCCTCTCTCTCTCTTAAAATTAAATAAAACAGAATAGAATAGAATAGAATAGAATAGAATAGAATAGAATAGAATAGAATAGAATAAAATAGTGCCTACTCAAGTACATATTATGCTTACCTGCTTTAATAAAGTATTTTCATTTGTGTTCTCTGTATATATGTGTTATCTATCTATACTACTTCTCTCTCTATATATTTTCTTCCTATATATACTTTTTATATATACTGTCTATATGCACTCTATAAATGTTCTGTCTGTATATACACACTATATAGATTCTTTGTCTCTGTGTGTATATATATACACTCTATATGAATATGCTCTCTCTATATTCTTTTACTATGTATGTATATTCTCTAAGAGAGAGAGAATATATGTGTGCTGTTTTCTGAGACATTTAACTGTGCCACAAAAGATTTTGTTTAGATGGTGAATCCAAGGCCAAGATACTCTTGGAGCCTGGTGCCTGCTTATCTGAACTGAGAGTGTAGTGTTTCAGAGCCGTAATGTCCCCCGCCCATCCCCACCTTCGCCAGTGTCATACTGTCATCCGTGTGCAGGGTCCTGAGCATCAGATGTGTCTCAAATGTAGAGGAGACCCCCCCCCCAGAAAAAGCCTAAGGTGCTTTACAAGTGGGATTGCTGATGATGCTGTTGGTAGTAGATCGGGAAGCTTCCTTTCCAAGTTTCTCTCCTTTGCTTCTGATGTGTCTGGTTTTGTGTAGCTCACGAAAACACAAAAGCAAGAAACTGATCTTGCAGGGCTTGTGAGCCTGCTGATCGCAATCTCAACACTGATGGGTTTGTATGTTTGCTCCTTCAGCTCTACGTGGCCACGGAGGCCATCCTCATCGCACTGGTGGGGGCCACGCCGTCCTACCACTGGGACCTGGCAGAGCTCCTGCCCAACCAGAGCCACGGCAACCGGTCGGCGGGTGACGACCACGCCTTGGGGGACTGGCTGCTGACTGCCAATGGCAGCGAGGTCCGGAAGCACGTGCACTTCAGCAGCACTTTCACCTCCATCGCCTCGGAGGTAACACCAGCGGTGGCCGTCGGGAAAACAAGATCACGATCGCTGGGTGAACGTTTCTCCTGGTCCAGATGGAACCATTTTTCTGTCTTGTTGATTTAAATGTCAGCCACCTCTTCAAATAGCTGTCGGGTACATTGGAGAGTTTAAAGGAGAATGTCGTATGGGAACATATTCTCTTTCCTTCTTGCTACAAACAGGAAAAGCATGAGCCTCACCAGACTGGTTAGATGAAGTACAATGTGCACTCCGGAAGAGCCACATTCCAATTACAGTGTCCTTTTATTTTTATTTATTTATTTATTTTTTAAAGTTTATTTACGTTTGAGAGAGACAGAGACAGAATGCGAGTGGGTTAGGGGCAGAGAGAGAGGGAGGCACAGAATCCGAAGCAGGCTCCAGGGCTCCGAGCTGTCGGCACAGAGCCCGACGCGGGGCTCGAACCCACGAGCTGTGAGATCATGACCTGAGCCGAAGTTGGACTACAGTGTCCTTTTAAAAAGTGAATTAAAACTCTCATTTCTTTTTTCTTATGTATACAAAAATTAGCCGAGTCAAGAGACAGAAATGTGGTGACTGTCTACAACATCCACAGTTCGTGTGGATTCAGTCCAGTCCTGTGTGTAG